CCCACGCTCCTGTTGGGGGCTAAGAACACGCTTATCTCCCTGAGCCTGGCCTTCATAAGTCCATTCCATCACAGGTGGTGCCTCATGGCCATCTTGACCTTTTTGACCCTCCCATGGACAGCCCTGCTTGAGCTATAGGTAATCCTCAACCTACAACCATTCGTTCAGCAACTGTTTGAAGTTATGATGGTGCTGAACGAATGGTGGTTATGACCAGTCCTCAGAGTTCTGGCCATCCCAGCACCCCATCCCTTGCAGTCACACGATCATGATCTGGGTGCTTGGCAATCCATTTGCACTTACAACCAGTTGCAGTGCCCTGTGATCACATGATCACCATTTGCAACCTTCCATGCTGACTTCCCCAAAAAGTCAATGGGGAAGCCGGCAGGGAAGGTCACAAGTCGCCGGAGTAAGTCTCCCCCACCCGCGCATCCTCCGTGAGCCCCTCTGCGCTCATGCTACACTGGCCACTTGCAGTGCAGCCTCATTGCACTGACCCTCCCTGACCCACGCCACACCTCTCACGCACCCCCTTGCACCCTCACACACCCTCTCCAACCCACGATGCACCCTCGCACACTCTCCCTTACCCACGCCTCTTGTGCACCCCTCACATCCTCACACACCCTCCCTGACCCATACCACACCTCTTGTGCACCCCCTCACACCCCTTCTTGGTCCCTTCCCCACCTGGCAGCAGCCACTTGCCTGCCTGCCGGCCTGGGACTTGCAACTTCCTGCCAGCTTCCCCACTGACTTTGGTTGTGGGAAGCCAGCAGAAAGTTGCCTCACCTAACAACCATGGGATTCAGTTAACGACAGCAACCAGGACTGCAGAGATTGCTGTCACTAAGTGATGCAGTCGTGCTTTACAACTGCATCACTTAGTGACGGAAATTCCGGTCCCAGTTGCCATTGTAAGTTGAGGACTACCTGTATTCCCTCAAGCGATACCATTAGCTGCAACAAAATCCCCCTCATTACACGTTATAGTAACCTTTATAGGTGGGGGTTCACACCAGACGTTTCACTTGGTTGCTGCAGGTGGGTTCCTGTGACACACTGAATCACAATGCAACTAACTGGCCTGGGTTTGCAACACACACAAAGCCACAAGAGAACAACCAGGGGTTGCATGCTGTGTGCATGTAGCTGGAGGACTTACACCAGTGTTGTCCAAACTTGGCCACTTTAAGATGAGTGGACTTCAACCCCCACAATTCCCCCCCACCGGCCAGCTTGGCGGGGGGGGGAATCAGGGGGATGCGCGCCTATATCCTTAACTCAGGTTGGTGGAACACGATGGATCA